TGGCTCGTGCGTTTTTCGAGAGATGGATATGCGACGGGTGCAGGTGGCTAAGCAGATACACTCAGACCAAGGCCCCGAGTTTATAAATTCGGTATTGTCAGGCATTTGTGAAATTACAGGAATTGAACAGTCCGCAACAAAAGGGTACAACCCTCCCTTCTATTTGCTACATGCGTTCGATCCTAACCGGCCATCAAATGTGACTCCTCGCGACCAGCTTTCTTTCAATCACATTGACACAGATGACTATAAGCATGAGCTTCTGGCAGGTATCCAGTTGGCACAAGAGTGCGCCAAAGAGCTCAACGAAAAGTATAAAACGCGTATGAAAGATGGATATGACAAGAGGAACAAGGTCAATGGTGATAAACTGCAAAAAATTGGAGACAGAGTATTTCTAAAGCTCCCTAGAGAAAACGCTGGTAAGAGTTACCCAAAGTTAAGCGAAGCTTGGGGAGGGCCATACCGCGTTATCGAGACCAGCGGCAATTCAGCGCTAATATCTAATATAAATGAGAAGGAAGAACCCATTCGAATTCCTTTTGATGCACTTATTGTAGTTCCGATCGAAGATGAAAGTCTGCCAAGAGTAACCACAACAAGAAGGAAAAAACGGCGTCAGGCAAAAGTTAATAATGTTGTTTGCAGAGCTGCGACGAACGGCGACGATACGAGCCCTATTTTTCCGCTGTCCAGGAAGGTACGAGCAGAACGACGATGGATACGTGTACTCGTGCTCCATTCAAGGAAAAACCTTCAAAGACGTCATCCCGACAGCTTCAGAAGCAATAGGAAAGATCCACTTTGATTCCACATTTGCTTTAGCCCGTTTGATTTCCATATACGAACACGAGAGAACCGAAGAGCGCAGGCATTTTTGATGTTAGATTCGAAATGTTGTAGTATTAGCATCACAGGCGTGCAGAAGGCGTATCTATTTTATAAGAAGTATTGTGACCACGTATTTCAAACTCTGACCTCCATGACGGTTCGTTCCTATGTCTTACGCACGACGGCGGAAGTAGCCTACCGATGGAAGAGCTCAACCAGGCCACGAACGAGGGTGTTCGGTATGCCATGGCCAGCGATTGGGACGAAGTGGTCGTAGATGAACGGATTAAGATCCTGATGATACTGCCCGACAGCTTCCGCGCCGTCAGCACTGCCTTCTCGGAAAGTCCAGATGTGGAACGTCGGTTATATGGTACACTCAACGACATCATAACTTTTGGAGAGCTCTGCAGCTCGTATTTGTGCACTGGTCGGTCCGACGACAGATGAGCTCATTTCCCAAACGCGAATGGTACAAGCTCGCGACTTCACTCGCCACGGCAGTTCGTATGGGGATGAAGGTTATCGCCGTCGCTCCCCTCGAGGAGACAAGTCGTACGCGAGGAACAGAGCGGATATGATCGAAGCGATAGAATTGGCGAAGTCGGCGGCAGACACGATGAAGCAGGGATTGAGGTGTCTCACCCCAAACATGGAATCGCCACAAGAACCCTCACGTGGACCCGGAGCTCATCCAAGAAGGTCCAGCGCGGAACCATATTCGAGAGAAGTCATACAGGAATACTACGAAGCGCTCGGGACCTATGTGAAAGCGGAAGTGGAATTGCCTCCACTGCAACCTGCTGCGAGAAGTCGCTCATCTCGAACTCGCCTTTATTTTAAGCAGAAGAGACAGATCAGCGGAAGAATTCAAAAAGGAAATATGAAACGCAGCTCTAGTTCGTTCAGGAACTTTCAGCCTAGTCCGATGATGATGGCCCAACAAATGTACGCGCCGCAGCTTCCGATGTTGCAGTACTCGCCATGGATGTTCCAGCCCG